ATGCAAAGAAAGAGCTTTATTAAAACACACACAACTATATACAACGCGTATCCAAACACATGCGTTTCTAAAAATTAAAAGTCCGTGAACGGTCCGTTTGCTTCCTCGGGGTTGGAGGTAACTGGCAGCATTCCCTCCGAGGCAGGTCCGATGTGCAGACGCCTACTGTGCGTGGCCCTGTACTTCAGCATCGCTTCTAACCGGGACTGCAGCTTAACACAGAGTTCAGTGAGATCCGGCCTACGAAATGGCGGCGACCGTAAAATCCATCCAGAGACACCGCCGAGGAAGGCGGACTTCCAGAGTTCCACTTCCTCATCTGCTAGCACACCCTGCCTCGCTTTCAGCAGCTGAAAAAAAAAAACAATGAATCAGCGCACTGCGTATGGACACAACACATCTATTAATGCACCTGAAAAATAGTCACCAAATAAAGTCTTACCCTCTTTCTTCTGGCCCGACTCCGAGCAGATTGCCTCCGCACGCAGCGTGTTGGCTGGCTGCATATATCTGAAGCTCCTGCGTACCGTCTGAAAATACGTCTTACAGGCAGCTGGAAAACAATTAAATGAGAGTGGTATAAATAAAAAATCAAACGCAAGTCACAGTAACAAGGAAGGAGAAAAAATTAAAACAAGTCACTTACACACAATGTCGTCTTTATTAACATCGAGCAAATAGGAGGTCTGTGAAAACAAAATGTAGAGCTATGATCGGTATCTATCGGTATCCATTGCCTTTTACCGCAGAATGAAAGCATATTCTTTAAATCTTACCCTTGCTCCGGTTCATAGCGCCTGCAATTAGTCTCCGAGTTGTTAAGACGGCGTACTGCTTCCTGTGAATCACAAAAAATACACTTTAATAAAGCTTGTTCTTGCAAGGCTACTATTAGCCGTTATTAGCCGTAGCTTCAGGCTAGGCCGCTATTAGCCGTAGCTCAGGCTAGGCCGCTTTTAGCTTAGCAGGCAGTAATCAAACATATATTTACCGCTTGCATCTCTTCTTTGAGTTCGTCTTGTTCGATGCAGAGTCGCCATCGCGTCCAAGAGGAGTTTTACCCCGAAATCCCACATACTCCGCTCCAGACCGCCTGCACAAAGCAAAGCATACATCCTCCACTGTGGATCCAGACCCCGCCGCTCTGAGTTTCTTGGAGATCATACAGAGCATGCGCGAGATGAACCAGGGTGTCCGCGGATCAATAAAAATAATTAAAAAATCATTCTTTTTTTTTTTTTTTTATCAAGACCTTAATTGGCACTAAAATTATTTAAATATGTTTATCGAAGTATCTATAATTCTTTAATAAAAAAGGCTTATAAAAACAATTTCGTCAGATATATTATATCGCTCCAGGCGGAGAAAAAGCTAGAGGATATATATATACGTATATATGTGTGTGTGTGTGTTTACATACATACAGGAGTCATGGAACTCTGCTTACAGCTCCTTCATATTTCATGTACACTAATAACTTGTGTACATGGTTCTTGTTGATGGCATTAAAATAATTTCAAATAGCATTAAAATAGCATTAAATTAGAGTCACTCATTCCTGTATGAACCCTGTGAGCGCTTAATTTAATATGACATATTAAAAAATCCCACCATCATCCAGCATATGTTCAGTTTCTGCCCAAATATATATATATATATATTTTTGTAGATTTTTGTAACGGAGATAAGGATAATTCAAAACTGCTTTTTTTTTTAATGAACTTGTTCACTACTTCCAAACTCAGCATCTCTTTTCATTCCTGTAATAAGAAGTTTCTTTTGAATGGATTTGATTAAAGTTTAAGTCCCTCGGTATAAAATAAATATTTTGATGGAGATGAGAAATCTGCTTCCTCGTTGGTGAATAACCAATAGTTTGGATCCAATCATTTAAATAAACGGTGTTAGTTTTTTTTTTATATATATATATATATATATATATATATATATATATATATATAAGAATTGTGCTATAATTTCTAGTCACCGATCTGTTGCTGCTATATTTTAATTTGACGAACCGGAATTTATCGATGTTCTTTTTCCTGTTTGGTGCGATTGCAATTGCGGATCTTGACCTGGCCGGACCTTATGACCACCAGTGTTGGGCACGTTACTTTGAAAAAGTAATTAGTTATAGTTACTAGTTACTTCTCCCAAAAAGTAACTGAGTTACTAACTGAGTTACTCCACAATAAAAGTAACTAGTTACTAGTAAAAGTAACTATTGCGTTACTTTTGCGTTTCTCGCCCCCCGTAACCCTCACCAGCCGGCCCCCACCTTCTCGCCGTGTGTTTCCAAAGCCAGCTGAATAGAGCGGACGACAAGACAAGAACCTGCAGACAGTTTAGCATTTATTGCAACTCAACGTAAATGACATCAGGGGGGAACGCGATGTGAAGTTTTATAACAGGACATTCAGATCCGGTGAGTATATGAAATTAATAACTGGGGATGTCTAATTCTGAAATCCTGTGTGTTTGGGTTGTTATAGAGACTGCAACATCTATCTATCTATCTATCTATCTATCTATCTATCTATCTATCTATCTATCTATCTATCTATCTATCTATCTATCTATCTATCTATCTATCTATCTATCTATCTATCTATCTATCTATCTATCTATCTATCTATCTATCTATCTATCTATCTATCTATCTATCATCTATCTATCTAGATGTATACTCTGTTTGTGACATAAAATATGGATCTCCATCCCTGCCACAAAGGCCATCAAATAATGTTTAAAATAAAAAAATACAGTAGGTTGAGAAGGCAGAGCATCCATCCATCCATCCATCCATCCATCCATCCATCCATCCATCCATCCATCCATCCATCCATCCATCCATCCATCCATCCATCCATCCATCCATCCATCCATCCATCCATCCATCCATCCATCCAGATTTCTCCCTTTCTCCATATATGCATCATTTCTGGCTGTTGTCAGGTTCATTTGATCGTTCACGCTCTCCATAGTTCTCCTGTGGCGCGAGCACAGGGCGACTGTTGCACGCCTTTAGCGAGCATGCGCGTTTCCTGCCGCTTGCGCGGTGACTCTTGCCGCCTGCGCTGTGTGGAGATGCAGAGGAAACCGTTATGTGATGGGGAAACGCAGCTCGACGTAACACCGGTATTTCCATGTGGAAAACGCTGTTTTGCTGCTGGAGTCATAATAACTCTCCATCTCTCTGTGTGTGCTGTACGTTAACACCCACCAGCAGAAACACCCACCTATTCAACTGACAGACGGAATCTCATCCTCCCCTCTCTCATGACAAGGCGCGCACCTCTGGATGACCTAAAAAATAATCTTTAATATCTCTTAAACAAAAGTAGCACAAACAATATTTTTTTTCTGCACAAATCTGCACTAACGTTGCACTAACCATTCAGTGTATTTGCAGAGTTTTTTGACGTGGGTGGGGTGTCAGCTTCACGCAGCTGCGCACGAGTCCTATCATGAAAAAAGGCTCATTGTGCGACCTGAGTAACGCGCAGTAACGGGGTGCCTGCAATGGTAACTGCGTTATAGTTACAGTCAAAGTAATTAGTTAGATTACTCGTTACTAAAAAAAGGTAACGGCGTTAGTAACGCCGTTAGTTTCAACGCCGTTAGTCCCATCACTGATGACCACAGTGTACCAATCTTCTGATGGCTACTTCCAACAGGATAATGCGCCATGTTATAAAGTGAATCATCTCAGACTCATTTCTTGAAACTTTTCCACTTAAGTAATTGTGAATTGAGCATATTGACAGACAACATTTTATTTTTTATCTTAAATGCAATTTTTTTTTTATAATTACTGCTCTAAATGTATTGCTCTGTCAGCTAAAGATCTGTTTTGGTCTCTATACTTTAATTAAATAAATCAATTCAAGCTAAAATGTAAGAGGCTATACTAAGCCTGATCTCTTTGTATCAGAGATTTTCTTACCCAGAAAGATGTCACTTGGGGTAAAACCCCCCCTGCAACCCTGGTTTGCATTTGTATAGCTCACAGCATGTTCATTTACATGTTAAAGCCTCCCCTAGAATTCCATGGGGGGGAGGCATGGGGGGAACACTGCCTAAGAGAGTCCACGTCCATTTCTGACAATTTACGGGAGTTTTCGGCGAAGCCTGCAAATTGTCGTAAACTGCCGCTAACCTGAAGTTCCACGACAATCTACAGTGCCGCATATTGACGAAAATCCCACTTTTCATGCAGTGTCTTTAAGAGTATATTTTTGAATTTTTAGTTATCTGTGTCATTCTGATTTCTTGCTCATGGGTTTCTTTTCCATTTTGTGTCATTGTTATTATTTTCTAGCTACATTTAAGCAGTGTTGTGTTTTTTGTGTTGCTCTCTGTTTTCCCCCTTGTGTCAGTCTCCTTTCACCTGTCATCTAGTTGCTTCCATCCAAATCTGCTCCTCGTCTATTGATTAGCCCAGTCTTTGTTCTGTCTCCTGTTTATACTTATCTTGTGCAGTTTCTCATTGCTGGTGTCTCGTCGTCACTTGGCTCCTTATGTGTGTTTTCCCCTGGCATCTCCTGGTTTTTGGTTTCTTGTATTTGGTTCTTGGATTTTGTTTCTGTTGTCTGTTTTTGATTAAATCAGCAAAAACTCATCTCTGCATCTATCTACTCTGCGTTTGGGTCCACAACCACATCCATCTTGTTGACAAGGATTTCATATTTCATATTTTATGGATTTCATATAAGTAACACATAGGCTTCAATGTTCTCTTTTCTTACATCAAGTGCTTCCTAAGTGCAAAACTTGTTTCACATACTTCTCAAGTGGGTTTAATAAGTAAAATGCTCAAGTGATCTCGTATTCTTGCATTTTATTTTGCATGTTAAGCTCATATGTAAGCTTTATATTAAATTAAAACGTATAAATGAAACTTCAAACACCAGTAAAAACTTACAATACACATAACCATAAAGAAGGTTAATGCTGGATGTCCAGTATAAAAGCAGTAAACAGCTTTGTTGACTCACACAATAGTAGCAGCTCCAGCCAGTAACAGTGTGGGCTGTATCTCTCATCTCCTGCAAGGCCTCTGCACGAAGATAACCCAGCTCCCTGAGACAGCCGTCATGGAACACCCGTGTGCAGATCCTGCAGGGGTAGAGGTCATCCGCCGTCCACACCTCACAAACATCACACATCTCGTCACTCGGTGGCTAGAAGAGAAAGTAGAAATCCTGAATCAGATTTTTGTTTCCATCCCATTCTATTTCTCTGTGCTTGTACAGCATTAAGCAAAGCAGTTATGTGACTAACAAAACTTCAATCAATATTCCACTGACTTGTAAGGTCCATTCTGTTTAACAATACTAGAATGTGTTTTAGGTGTATCAGCAGCTTTTTTTATTCTCTTTGACTAGCTGCTATATGCATGATGTGTTCTGAATAGCTAGCAGGAAAGAGTCTTTAGAAGGCTCCCAAATGGCCTTACTCAAATGGGACTTAAAAAGCTGAGGGTCACAAAAAGGGCAGAGATGGGATACACTTTAGAGATGTCAGGGGGAAAAATGTACTATTAGACATATTGTCCTAGGGGGAACTATGAATATTGGATTCCACACATAAAAACAGATGCCAGATGAAGATGCCTTCATATTTCTATGGGTTTTTATTCCTTTTTTTATCTAGTGTGCTTCAGCCTACTACATAAATAGGTAAGTAAGAACCACTTAGGAGATAAAAAAAAAATACATCAATTCTGAATCTTATCTGGGAAAACTAGTAAATTGTTAATACATTTTCTAAAATGCAAAAAAAAAAAAAATCTTATTCTTAGGATTTTGTTTGCAAGAGTTAGCAACTCTTGCAAAAGCTAGGTCGTTAAAAATTACAACTGCTCATTTGCTTTAGGTGTGTTGAAGCAGGTATGCAAGCAAAAGTTGCAGAACAGTGGCACTTGGGTGCAGAGCACATGGATATTCTTTAATCAAAATCCATTATAGCCATTATAGTTTTAGCTTTATGCTTTGTTGCAAGGCAGTCTCTCAACTCTAACTAGTGTCCCTGTTGTACTTAAAATAAAGCATGCATACACATACTTTATGGTATTTCACCACAGGGGTGTAGTTTACAAAGTGATATGCGATTTTAGTCTTTGTGGGCCAAAGACTTGTTGGAGTAATAGAGTCCTGGCTTTTTTTTTTCTTGCTTTTTAATCAACGCATTTTGCCACATGAGCAGCTGATCTTTGTGGCTTCAGATTGGCCAATCTGCTACTTCTTTGGTTAATCCGCTTCTTGCTATGCAGGTGGCAGACCTACACTTTTTCTGTTGGGTGGGCTAGAGGATGGCAAGCCTAAATCAGGGGTCTACAGACATGCAGATCAGTTTGTTTATCAATCATTTGGAATTGAGTTTCTTAACAAGGCACATATTGTAAGTATGTCAGGAAAAAAAGGGGATAATTGTGTATTGAATAATTTTTGTATTTAATTTACCTTTTGAATAAAATATTTAAACTCTAAAACACAAGTTTGAATTTGTCAGTGCGTAAATGTGTTCATGAACGGGTGAGTGAATATCTTAAAAAAAAGGTGAAGCAAAAAAATGCTGTACAAGAAAAGACCATTTGCCATTTAAACTGTTAAACAAATGTTTTTGCTAAATCAGTTAAATGTTTTTTTTTTTTTTTAAGATTTAAATTTTATCTCTTACATACACTAACTGAATGAGTTTTTTTTCTACTTAAAAATGGTAACTAAGTAACTTTTACCTAAAGTTAAAATTTGATTGAGATTTTAAAATTTTTATTTGAGTAAAATTATACACTGGTAGTTCCCCCCCTCTCTGCCCCCTGAAGCTCCGACTCAGTTCATCGCCCTTTTTACTAAGAAACAGTATGCTACAGTACTTTGTAAGATATAATTGCTATTATCAGCTTTGATTTTTTTACTTTTTTATTAACTTTTATATTTCTTTTCATATAGTTTAAAGGACAAATTGCCCGTACTGTACTGTAAGGGGTTTTAAAGTAAGGGGTACACAAAAGAGCTTTGCACTACAATTAGTCATGTGCTCATACATTCACAGTGGCATGCACCATTGTAACCACTACTGCCCTGGGGCACACTAACAGAGGCAAGGCTGCAGTAGACAGGCGTTAGGAACTCTAAACCATCAGCCTGTGGGAGAAGTCTTGCCTAAGGACACAACAGCTGAGACGAACAGAGCTGGGGTTGTAACTGGCAAACTAGTTTGATATATCTTTTAAAACTCTCCTGTTTCATTTTCAAATTTTCTCTGCATATTTATTTTCAGTCTAATCTTCTATGTTAACTGCCTAATTGTCATAAGTTGCACTGTGTTGCTTCTATCAGCTTACAGTTACCCATATGCTCCTCAGTTTTCTTTGTTTTTCTTAGTTTTTTCCTCAGTTTTTTTTGACCATATAATTTATATAATATATAATATTTTCATATAATTTATAATATTTTTCAGTTGTTAATAATTGTGTTCACACCTTCTGTAGAATGACCTAGTATAAAAACTAAAAAAAAAAAACATTATCTATAGTATTTATATACTGATGTCACTTTTCAACATATACTGTAGGTTCAAACAATTTTAAAAATTACAAATAAAAATTACAAATAAATGATCATTATATTTAACCTTAGTCTTTAGTAAAAATGATTCATAACATATTAATGTTAACATATTAATTTCTTTTTGATATACTTCTAGTGAAGTATATCAAAAAGAAAATACAGGAATCACAACATAGGATTACAAGATAGGAATCATTTTGGTAACGATTTTGATGTCACCTGTCAGAGTCCTCAAGTCAAGGTGTTTACTCTTTTTTTATACAGAAAAACCGCAGGTGTTGTTGCCTGTGTGAACTCCCTCCCCTGTTAGTCAGCATAACCCTGAAAATAGTCACCTCTCAGAGCCAGCCAAAGCAACCGCCCACAACATGCTCAATGTGAAGAGCACTCATACATATCAACAACATATACCAGCTATTGCGACACAGAAATGGGCTTTCAGAAAAAAAAAAAAAAAAAAATCAAGCTTATCCTTTATTACCTTCTCACTCTTGTAGGGCTTTTAAGATGTAAAGATTAAAAAAAATTATTTTGCAAATCTTTATAAAGTCCAAAATCAGAAGTCCTCAATCATGTTTTTTTTTTTCTATATTTGCTGCTATAAACACCAGAATTTCCCCATTGTGGGACAATAAAGGGATTTTCTATTCTATTCTATTGGTAGGGAAAAGATTTGGATATATTCTATAACTGACAAGAGCCTTCAGAATATCTAAAATGCCACATCAAGAGTTCTAATGAAAATAAAAAAGATGAATTTGTTTAGTTTCTTTCATTTCAGCATTTTAGGATCTTTGGTTTCTTGTTAAATTAATAATATAATCTAAAATGAACCTTTTATGTACTGTATAAAGCTCTAAAAAATCAAGCAGCATAACATCAGAATCAGGCTTTTTGCATAGATTTGTAACAGTTCTTTACTCCTAGACTGCATGTTTACTTTATTTTTTTGTCTTAGTTTTCATTACTCCCGCTGGGAGCAGTGTAGGAGTTAAGAGCACCAGTAGGTTAGAGCCTCAAAGCAGGCATTTAGCATCTTGCCTAAGGGCAGCTCATTCCCCTCCATCTGGGATACGAATAAGAAGCATATATTCTAGTTTTAAGGTTCATTTTCTGTGAAACAGGGTTCAAGTTTTAACTCCTGCTATTAGACTGGGCTTGAATCTGTTCTACTTAATAAAGAGCATAGGTGTTGAAGTATTTCAGTAGCTATGCAGCTATGGGCTAAGGGTGCTGGAGGATATCATGACCACTTCTCCTTACCCTAATATTTATATTTTTCCTCTCTCTTTTTTTTTCTCTCATCATAGTAGCTACATCTGTCCTTACGTTCAGTTTAGCAGTGACACCTTCCAGGAGAGAGTTGGCTCTACAGCTGTAGTAGAAATCAGAACAGTCAAATACTGAGGGATGACATAGCAAAGCAGATCAGCCAGACAGAATGTCAGGCAAGGGAAGAGAAAAAGCAGATCTGGTGCATTCCATAATGAGAGGGGATGTATGGATGGTTTCTTTAATGCACCGAGTGTAGATTGTTGCAGTACACATTTTGAGGAGAATGGAAATGTGGAAAAAGAACCTACTCTTTATCATACAGACTTGAAAACTGGCTCAGAGCTTATGTGCTTACCTGTTTTCCTCTCTTATATTAACCCATGTAAGAAGCTACTGCAACCATAAAATCGAAACTTTTCTTTCAGTAGGAATTAGTCATAGATTAGTGGGAGAAGGTGGCAAATGGACTCCCATGACCTTGACAGATACCTTGGCATTCCAGGGTTGGATCCCCAACTGTCTGTCTGTCTCACGTCTGCACCCTGGCTCAGATACTCCAGGGAATTTACAGAGTGGTTCTAAAGCTGTTCTTTTGAGATCTTTGTTGTATTTTTGGGTCGTGGTGCTGCTAAAAAATTTAACTGTCACCCGAGTTTTTGCATTAATCCTTTCCTCCTAACTAGTACAACATTAAAAACATCCCCATAGCATGATGCTGCTACCATGCTTCACTATAGAGATTGTATTGGCCTGCTGGTGAATTTTGCAGTCTGTTTTCTTCCAAGCACAATGTCTGGCATTCTTACTAATGAGTAATATTTGTTTCCAATCAGATCTGATCAGTTGTATTCTCATGAAGACCTTCAGCTGCCTTTTGCGAACCTCAGAGAGGCTGCCACATGCTCTTAATAAACTTTGGGATTTTACATTGCCGCTATATCACACAGATCTGATTGGTGTAATACTACAGAGATTTAACCTCTGCTATTAAACTACAAATATGGCTCCACTAGATGAAGTAGAATATTTGGTGACCTGTAGTGGGGTTGGATGTTAAGTGCATCGCTTTGAATTTAAAGACACTGCAGTAAGACAAGTTACAGGTATTAAGAGAGGCAAAAAAAGAGCTGTGTGACAAATTCAGACCAAAGTGACAAAATAATTTTAAATAGAACATAATTGATTAATTTAAAGAAGAAAAAGCATAGAAAAGGATAAGACTGAGACCATATGCCTGTAACACGAAGCAGGATTACTGGGTTAGCGATACAACTTCAGCTTTAACACTGACTTTCCAGTACCACAAAGCTTGACTCATTCTTAGCAAGGCCAGTCACCATGGTAATGTACTCTGAATGGCAAAGCTGCTCCGGGACAGGCTAGCTTCCTAGAAAACGCTCATCCCAGCAGCCAAGCAGATGATTTGATTGAAGAACCGATTTAATTCAGAGCTAAAAAAAGACCTTAAATAAAACAACATCCCAATAAAGAAACTTGGTTCCAAACTTCATCAGTTTATAAATGATTTAGGCCTTTGCTTACTGAGACCTTCAAAGCTGCATTTAATGTGTGTGTGTATCCTTCCCCAGATTTGAAACTGTAGAATCTTATTCAGACGGTGTGGGCCTTTCCTAATCATGTGTGTCAACTGAATGCAAATGATTAAGAAGGTCCACAGGTGGAATTCATTTAGCGTGTAGAAACATCTTACTGATGGTCACTGAAAAGAGCTTGATCTACAGCTATTATATAAATTTGTCAGGCCAACATCAGCAATTATGCAGATAAACCAATTTTCAGAACTGGTTAAGACTCTTCAGCTCCCATGGGAGCATTCTGACAAAAGATTACCTAATTAAAAAACTTAAGAACATATATTGCAAGAAATTTGCAGTATTAAGAAACTGAGTTTAGTACCTTTAGTGAATTATTGAGTAATAAAAAAACTTAAACACGTTTTTTATCAAATCAAATGTTAAAAATCCCTTTAAATCATATTAAAGAATACAGTACCTGCTCTTTGTTCTCAAGGTCCACTTCAATAGGCTGGTCATCATCAGCTTCCCTTTTTGGTCGCACAAAAGCAGGGGGTGTGAGTTGATGGCTCTTGTCAAGGTCTTCAGGCTCCACCCCTTTCCCATCCCGTAACCTTGACCAAGCCTCCTGGTTAACTTTACATTCATCTCTCACTTGAGCTGAGGCCTGTTGGGAGGTCGATGGATCTGGATTACTGTCTGTCTCCTCTGGCTTCTCATCCTCTGTGTTTTTCTCTTGAGGAGTGGTTGAAGTTTTGGCATCTTCTCCGCCTTCCCCCACTTCTGTCTCTGCCTGCTTTGCTGCACGATCCTTGAGGCCCGCCTGGAAGGCTGAGACAACAGCACTGCACTTTTGTACCTTCTCCACTTGCTGCTTCTTTGACATAAGCACGCCCATGGCTATAGACATACAAAGAGAGAAAAATTTATTTTTATAACACACAGGATTTCATTGATCATCACATATTTGTTTTTACTGGAAATTTAGGCTCGGTACTGGCAATGTTGCTTGAAAAGATCTGCCTTTGTTTGAAAGTTAAATACAGCTAGAGTTTGTTTGGAGATACTGTAAATTGAAGACTAAATTCTAAATTATAAAAGTTTAGGAAAAAAATAAGCACTTTTCATTTAAGAGCTAAGCGAAAAAGGCAAGGCTCTCGATTTGCTGGTATGTCTACGCACCACTCTAGTAACTATCGTTATATGCAATGTCAGTACAAGGACATCATAATAGTATGCAATGCAATAACTTTATATTCATTGTCCATCCCAGTAGGGGTGGAAAATACTGTATGTTATTAAATCATGTAACCTTCAGACTGTCATATATTGTCCTGTGAATACACACCGAACTGTTTGTGTTAGGACAAACAAAAGTATGAATCGAGCTCAAATCATCATCAAACCATTAACTCTGCACACATATGGAATAAATCCACAACAAACTCCCTTCAAAATATAACAATTTCTAAAAAAAAAAGATTCAAATTCAAGTCTAACATATTTAATTTAAAATCTATTAAAGAAGTCTTCTTTAATCTACCAAATTCAATTAATTCTGAATTAAATGATGTAATGATATCACAGCTTGCCATGGATGTTATGTTTGAGAAACAAAGTGTACCTTGACAAGCTTACAATTAGGTTAAATTAGCTTTTAAACTAATGTAGGGCAATAGGAATGTGTTTAAACAATTTTATATTGCAAATCGAAGGAGATAAATAAAACGCTTGCAAGCTTTATCAGAAATCATTAAACTTTTAGTGAATTGGCTCTTAAAGGAATAGTACACCCAAAACATCATTAGCCTTCATTTTCTACTCACCCCCATGCTGAACAACACTCTGGAGTACTTTTTTGATATCTCAAATGCATCTGGAGATCTGGGAGGCTTCTTGCTGTCTGCTGACATTCAAATAATGGAGGTCTATGGTGGCCGAGACAGAAAGGTCCATAAAAGTCCACAAAAAACGTGTCAATATTCCTCCATACTGCTCGTCCAATGTATTCCAAGTGTCCTGAGTGGGTAGCATCCAGAATTTACTCGAAACGAAGTCATTTAGAATGTTTTTAGAGCATAAACAGTAGTGTATAGGATTTCCTGAAAGCGCGCACACGCGCGCTCACGACGCTACGGAAGCCGGCAGATCAAACCAGATGAAAGTGCGCATTCAGCGTCTGCAAGCGTAGAAGAAGAAATGTGCTGTTTACCTGTGCAAAGAAAGAAACAACGAAAGAAAAATATCTGAGGACTTCAGTGTTGAGGAAGAGCATGAGTTCTTTGCCGAGCTGAATGCGCTGGTTTGGTCTGCCGGCTTCCCGTAGCGTCGTGATCGCGCATGTGCGCGCTTTCAGGAAATCCTATACACTACTGTTTATGCTCTAAAAACATTCTAAATGACTTCGTTTCGAGTAAATTCTGGATGCTACCCACTCAGGACACTTGGAATACATTGGACGACCAGTATGGAGGAATATTGACACGTTTTTTGTGGACTTTTATGGACCTTTCTGTCTCGGTCACCATAGACCTCCATTATTTGAATGTCAGCAGACAGCAAGAAGCCTCCCAGATCTCCAGATGCATTTGAGATATCAAAAAAGTACTCCAGAGTGTTGTTCAGCATGGGGGTAAGTAGAAAATGAAGGCTAATCATGTTTTGGGTGTACTATTCCTTTAACCTCTTGTGATTATTCCTTAGGAAACAGTTAAAGGTAAGGCTTGCCAAGCCTCTTTAGAATGTTCAAAAAGGCAAAAAAGTCCTGGGTACCTAAATCTGAATTGGAAATTATACTTTTTAAATGCTCTCTTGGTCCCGACATAAACGGCAGAAAAAACACCTCAGGGTTGATACACCACTGAAAGGTTTACAAACAGCTTTACATGATGAAAAGCCTTTTCATGCCCTTGCCACACACGCTTTATGATATATGCATTTCCTCCCCCTTTTCAGTAAGGCTTTACATCTCTTCCCTCCGGATCTGGAAGCAATTCTGTAACGCAACACTTTCAAACCAGGTGTGAGATTTCATCTCCTCCACTGGTGCATGATGTGTGAATTGGCCAGGGCAAATTAAGAGCTAGAGTTGATCCACCACTCTTTTGGCTCAATAGAAGCAATGTAAAAATGTCACAGAGTTGACTACCTCTTTGATAGGTCTAACTTCCACATTTGTAAAGCTTCTAAAGACAAATTTAATGGATTCAGGTCTACGTATAACTTAACTGGAGTTTATCTGCCTGAGTGATTCTGCACTTACATCTTGATAACTAACAGAGACTAAAGGTTAATACGCTATTTAAGTTACCTAAAAACAGAGAATTTTTTAAGCTCTGCATGTTTTAATCTGGATGTATGCAATGTTGCTATTTGAGAGTTTTGCTTTGTGCAGTTTAAACACGTTTTATTATACTATAGATATTGCAAAATATATCAGCTTGAAGAATTGAAGGTGTATTGTGACCTTACATCAACTCGGTCAAAATCGGGAAAGCATGTCAGGCTTTTTTAAAGCTACAGTAATTTTCACAGACAACTAATGATCGTCTAGCAGACTGCAGCGACATGAACCCCTCCCCCCACCGCTTCACCCTCTAACAATACAGATGTTTACATAAATAACTTCAGAAATCGTATTTCATTAGTCTGTGCAGGATATAGATTTTATTAAGGCCTAAGATAGCAAATTTACCAGTTATATACCACATTGTCTTCATGTTTTAGTGAGCTGCCTAGCATAGTGATAGAACAGACCAAGTTATTGTATTCATTCAGTTATATAGTGAGATTGTGTTGGTTGGAAGCATATATATTCCCTGTTTAGTCCAAGTTTTGACTGTGACAGGGGGGTTAATATATAAGGAAGAGGGAAAGGAAGAGGGTGAGGAAGGGTGTAAAGAGGCAACGGTGGGCATGCAGCCAGGGTTAGGCGAGGGAGCGGTGCTAGCAACATGACTGGAGCCAAGGAGGCAAGATCCGATGCCCTCCACACGAGCCAAGGACGAGTTACCAAGTATCCAGAGATGTTTTTGCCATATATCTACGTCATGTGTGTGTTACAAATAATACTAATTCATGTTTTATTTACAGCTCTGAGCGTTACATGTAGTAAAGTGACTGTTGATGATACTCTATAATTGCGGTAGTGACATTCGAGCTTAAAGGCCAGTCACTAGTTTTTCAGCTCTTTGCTACTATAGCATAAAGATGTCAGCCTCTGTAAAATGTGAGACCTGCTCCTCTGTATTTATTAGAAATTTCTAGGGCAATGCCAGCATAAAGATAGAGATTTCCAGTTTGTAGATAATAATAAACAAAATGCTTATGTATTATCTAATTATTTTCTAATTAGTACACACTATAGCTTTAAAGACCGGTGATTGGTAGACAACTGGAGTAGGTGCACTCCTACTAACACTACTATAACTACGTACATTGTTGATACCTTTAGTATCTTTTTCATACAGAAATTCAGAGCAGTAATTCAGTGAATAAACCTGCAGCATTTATTATATCTATGTTAAAAGCAGTGTCTGTGTCTGTATTATTTTCAGCCAATATTATTGAGAGCCACCTTGGAAGGTCCAAATAGCCTGTTGTGAATCCAGACACAGGTTGCAAACCCCTGGTCTATTACTTATTATCCTAAATAAGTAGAGTAAAGCTTTGGTTGTAATGTTGGCAAATATCAAGTTAGGATGGAATGGAATGGAAAGCAAGGGATGAGACAGTTAAGGCATCCATGATGTGTCCAATTATCCATAGAAAATTTCATTTTACCACAGTAAAGAAGATATTATTAACATTAACCTAAAACAACATCTGTTTACAACATTCAAGAGTAGAAATGTGCTGAATGTTAGTTTCAGATCTTTAAAGAGATTGGAAGATGCAATCAGCAGACGTTTCATTTTTTCACAAGGGAACTTTTTCACAGCTGTTATGTCAGCAGCAGGAGAACAGGAAACAGAAGAATAACTCTAATGATTAAATGAGGGTTGCTTCTCTGCTGGGGCAACGTAAGAACAGGAAATTTCTTTACTCCCACAGTACTGGAGTCATTCTTTGCTACAGTACTGTAACTAAGAAGTGACTCGCAATGTGAGTTTGCAATCTACCTACTTTTATTTTGTTAGGTCAATTAGATTTAATTTGAATAGAATTATATTCCACACATTTTCTTTTAAGTAAATTTATAAATTAAAGTAGAAATGTTTTTCCTCCTTTCAACATGAGCAATGGAAGCATCTCAGCCCTGTGTTGTTGAATTTTCGGCACACATATCTTATCATTTCCCCAGATTATGCCTGAACAGCTACGAACAAATGTTTATCATGAATGATTAACAGTTAGACTTTTCACACTAAAGATTTATGTTGCTTCTGCAGTTAATGCATCATCCCAAGTTCGGATTCATACAAACTGAAGAGCTGAAATTTATTTTCAATTCCAATCACATGAACATAAATGCTTGTTAATTTTGTGAAGCTGCTAGCTTATTATAAGAACTGAAATGAGTTCACCAAAATTCACTCACTCTGCTTGCTTCTGACAATGAACAGTTTTTTTTTTTTTCTTTCAAATGATGTCTTCTCTAAAGTCAATTAAATGGAGATGAGTCAGATTCTTTTTGTTATTCTACAGGTGCTGGTCATAAAATTAGAATATCATGAAAAAGTAGATTGATTTTAGTAATTCCATTTAAAAAGTGAAACTTGTATATTATATTCATACATTACATACAAACTCATATATTTCAGATGTTTATTTTGTTTAATTTTGATGATTACAAATGACAACAAATGAAAATCTCAAATTCATCATATCAGAAAATTAGAATATTACTGAAGACCAATAAAAACAAAGGATTTATAGAAATGTTGGCCAACTGAAAAGTA